GGACTTGGCCACGGGTGAAGAGGGTAGAATTTCATCGACTGAGGGCATCCCCATCCCCACCCCACCCTCGAATGTGCAAACAAAATGAGAATGAACTTCCTGCTAGAACATGGCCAGATGCCCCCGCCACGTATTTGTGGCTTTCACAATGAACTGCCTGCTAGAACAGGGTCAGATGCCCCCGCCACATATTTGTCCTTTTCACATTTCCAGTTCGAGAGTGTGGCGAGGTTCCACTACCCTCGAGATGCACAAAAGACAAAAATATTGGCGCTGTATATTTCCATATTCTACCGGAAGATTCACTCTCGTTTTGCACATTTCGGAGAGTAGTGGCGCGAGGCCCTTCGTCCAGTCCAATACAGCCAGGGCCGGCCTTGGTTGCGGTCAAACACATCCAGTCCAATACAGCCAGGGCCGGCCTTGGTTGCGGTCAAACACATCTAAGGGAGTAGCGGTAGGTAGGTAGTGTGAGGTGAAATTGAGAGAAGAACATAGCTTTATTAAATAAAAAAAAAATAAAAAATAAAAAACCTGTAAGGAAGCATGACCCGAAAGACAGCTGATATACATGCATAACGACGGCCCGTCGTGTTCGGTCAGGGGGAAGATGGTAGTATGGGGTCTGCTCTCCGACTCCCTTTCTTGGCTGCGACACATAAAGATGGCGCCACCTGACCTCCGTTTTCACCCGAATAGAACGCCCCGTCACCCGAATAGAACGCCCGGTCATTGTCGCCGTATCAGGGCTGAAAGTTGCGCCAAATACAGCTATAATGACCTGGCATTCTATTCGGGTGAAGACGGCAGACTATGGTGCTTTCTACCTGTCACTTGGCAAAGTAAACAAGGTCGCGAATGAACGTGCGTAAGTAACCAAGCCAATGAAGGTACGTAACTGATCACATGAGAGAGAGAGAGAGAGAGAGAGAGAGAGAGAGAGAGAGAGAGAACGGCAAGAGCGGGAGGCAGCGAGAGCGGGGTGGAAGGAGAAAATGGCGGGAGGGACGAAGGTAGCTCACCGGTCCGGACTTGCCAACACCGGCGCTAAGCGGCGCGGCTCACACCTACCGGTACCGCTGATGTGGCACGGTCATATCGTTGTCGTCTACACGTCGGCATGGGGTTGGGAGGGCATATTCACACCAAAGGGCCTGATCCGACAGACCAGATGCACCCGCCACATTTTTGTTTGTCTTTTTCACATTTCGGGGGTGGTGTGGCGAGGCCCTTATTCATTGAACCCCGCGGAGGGATGTCGAAACGGTCGTAGACGTGGCTTTCGTGTAGTGAACGTCGGATACATCACCACACGGGGTTCAAGGAATAAGGGCGTGTTTTTGATGTGTGTTTTTGTTTTCTCTTCTTTTTTCTTTCTTTAAAAAAAAAAACAAGTGGACCCGCAGCGGCGAGAAGACCAGAGACTGCGAGAAGGGAGGACAGATGTAGTATTTAGGGTCTCCTTAGACATAAAAGAACCCTAAAATTTTTAGGACAAGTCCTAAATGTTTTTTAGGATTTCTTGCGGCTTCGTTACACGCAGTCCTAAAAATCATCTTTTAGGATTCGTCCGAAAAGGTCTCCAGCGGCCTGTTTTCATATTCGTATACGCAGCCGCGTCGCCGATGTCCGTCGGGTCCTGGCTGGTGTCCGTGGTACACACTGCAGAGGCCTTGGGCGGGTGAGGAGGGGTGGGTGAAAACCGCGGTCACCCCGAACTTCAAAAATTCAAATTTGAATCCTCGCGGACGCAGGGCGGCGGGGCGGAGGACGGCAAGGCGACGCGTATGACGTACAAAAGATGGCGCTGGCGAACCGTTCGGTGTGGGTATCCATCTTCCGAACTGTTCGGCGGGGCAGCAGGCGCGTCGTCGGCTCCGGCGTACGCCATCTCCTGTGGCAGCGTACGACAGCGGGCGCATCTACGGGTCCAACATGCGTGGTCTCCTGCGGCAGGGTTGAGCAGCGGGCGTGTCTTCGGCGGCTGTGGCAGGCGTCACGGTGTGGGGGCGGAACGATTCCCAGAGATGGACGTTCGCGGCAGCAGGCACGGTCTGCGCGAAGAGGAGATCGACGCGGTGGCGATGGCGGTCACTGCCGTCGTCGTGAACACGATGAGCGACATGTCATCGTCCTGACGCGACATGTTGACGCAGCTCCATAAACGAAGAGCGTTGCTGCAGCACATTGCCGAAGCGTCGGATTGTGTGGCCACGTGTGAGGCAGTCGTCCAGTTGTGTGTCGCGCTGTCATCTGGCGTTTTCCCGTGGCAGACCCCGCGTTGGTGGATTAAATGATGCAATGGCGGAACATGGGAGGATCTCCGCCTCTGTGATGACGCGACAGACGAGTACTACCGCCATAAGTTGCGCATGTCGATGGCCATGTTCAGGCAGATCATAGCCGCGTGCGCTGCGTACATGGAGAAGAAGGTGACGCACTATAGGATGCCATTGCCAGTGGAGCAGGTGATCGCTTTCACGTTGTACAGGTGGGCGTCAGGAGAGACGTACCAGAGCGGCACGTCAACCTTCGGCATCGGCAGGGCAACTGGACTGCAGGCCGTCCGCGACGTCACTTCGGCGCCGCTGCAGACGTACCCCGACGCGATCAAGTGGCCAGTTGGCCATAGACGTGCGCAGATTCTGCACGCATTCCGTGACAAGGGTTTCCCAAACTGCTTTGGTGCGATCGACTGTACACATATCTACATTGACAAGCCCGCCGACGCACCTTCACACAACTACTACGACCGCAAACAGAAGTTCTTCGTGCAGGCGCAGGTGGTGGTGGATTTGGATCTGCGGATCCTCGACGTCCACATCGGATACCCGGGAAGTGTGCACGACGTCCGTGTCCTGCACAATTCCCAACTGTGGAGGCGTGCAAAAGTTGGCGCGCTGTTCGACGCACCTCCGTAGAATCCGCCGCACGGTGTCGTCACGCGAGGTTACCTGCTAGGAGACAATGGTTATCCAGTTGCCTGTCCATGGATCGTGCAGCCGTACGGAGGAATCGACCAAGATCCTGTCGAGGAGTGCTTCGACACGCGGCAGAAGGTGGCGCGGGGGTGTGTGGAGAGGGCATTCGGGCGACTGAAGTGCATGTGGCGTCTGTTCTTGCACACCCACAAGACGAACCTGGAGACCTTGCCACAACAATTCGTGGCCGTGTGCACTCTCCACAACATCCTCCTCGATGGGGGGATCGACTTCGATGTGAACCTTTTGTGGGAGGTGGATGAGAATGACCTTCGGCGTAGAGTAGACTTGGGCATTGTGGGGAACGGCGCGAGCGGGCAGCGACGGAGCACGAACGTGGACGGGGACTTGTTGCGG